CCCCCCCCCCGCCCCTTGTAAAAACACACTGGTGGATGAGCAGATACAGTAGTACTGGTAACTAAACATTCATTAAGAGAAAGTCAATTTTAACGGAAGAACAATAATATTGATTGTGAACATTTATCAAGTGTTTATCATACACCTCACTCTCTGCCAAGCAATTTATATACACTTCCTTATTCAACCAGTTCAGATAATGGAACTATGGCAGCAAGAAGTAACTTGTCCAGGTCACAGAGACAATACCTGGTCTGAACCATCATCAGTCTGATCAGAACCCAGGCTCTACCAGGGGGAACAGAAAGACAGCTGTTCATGGCTAATGTGACCCCTCCGTGGGGTGTTCCCTCCACCCCTTCCCACACCACAAGCAGTGGTTCTCTTCATGTTCCTACAGCACTGTGCTCACCCCCTCCTGCTCTGACATAAATGCCAGGTGTGTGTCTGAAAGGGTGAGCTGGGTCCATTTTTACTCATGACCAGTGTTAGGAAGCATATACTCTCCTTTCTCATTGCCATGAGGGTGGTAACAGAAGCAGGAGAATATATACAGAGTTCAGAAATCTGGTGTTGGCTACTTATGAGCGGTATAAAATAGGGCACATTATTTAACCCTTCTGAACCTTAGGTTACTCAAATATAATGTGGGGATAATGATGCCAGTGTTACCCTGTAATAAGAATTAATGTGAAATGTGCCTGTGTGTCTGTGAGGTGCAGGCACAGTGCCTGGCACAGCACAGGTGCTCAGTGAGCATTCTTCTCTCCACCTCTCTCCTGTTCAGTCCCCTGACCACCTTGATTCTGACTCTTCTGCTCCACCTTATATAGCATTCCAGCTGTTAAGTGTTACCTGTTATGGGCTGCATTAGTTATCTATTACTGTGCAACAAGTTGCCCTAAACTTAGCAGCTTAAAACAACAAACATTTATTATCTCAAAGTGTCTGTGGTTCAAGGATCCAGGAAGCTTCGCTGCTGGTTCTGGTCCAGTCCCTCCTGAGATTGCCGCCAAGATGTCAGCTGGAGCTGTGGTCATCTCAAGGCTCAACGCTGGGAGCATCTGCTCCAGGTTCACTCATGTGGCTGTTGACCTGCTTTAGGAGGCTTGCTTCCCAGCTGACCCATGTGGGTCTCTCCACAGGGCTGTCACGGCCTATGGCAGCTTATTTCCCCAGAGCACACAATCCAAGAGAGAGCAAGAGAGCATCCAAGATGGAAGCCATAGACTTTATAAAAAACCCACTTTATCGTTGAAAGTATTACACATGTCCCCCCTTTCCCCCACTGACCTCTTCTAGCTGGCCTTCACTCCCCACCCCAGGTCTTCACCCCCTGTTGTCTGTGTCCATGGGTTATGCATATATGCATACAAGTTCACTGGTCGATCTCTTCCCACCCACCCACCCTCCCCTGCCTTCCCTCTGAGGTTTGACAGTTTGTCAATGCTTTTATGTCTCTGGATCCATTTTTGTTCATCAGTTTATTTTGTTCATTATATGCCACTTATGACTGAGATCATGTGATACTTATCTTTCTCTGAGGGGCTTATTTGAGTTAGCATAATGCTCTCTAGGTCCATCCATTCTATTGCAAATGGTAAAAGTTCTTTCATTTTTACAGCTGTGTAGTATTCCATTATGTAGATGTACCACTATTTTTTTTAATCCACTCATCTGCTTATGGGCACTTAGGCTGTTTTCAAATCTTAGCTATTGTAAATGGCGCTGCTCTGAACATAGGGATGCATATATTCTGTCTGATTGGTGTTTCTGCGATCTTGGAATATATTCCTAGAAGTGGGATTACTGGGTCAAATGGAAGTTGCATTTTTAATATTTTTTCAGAAACTCCATACTGAGGCTGCACCAGTCTGCATTTCCACCAGCACTGTATGAGGGTTCCCTTTTCTCCACATTTTCACCAAAACTTGTCATTCGGTGATGATAGCCATTCTGGCAGCTGTGCTATTCATTCTTGAGAAAGAAGAACAAGGTTGAAGAAATCAAGCTCCCTAATTTCAAACCATATTACAAAGCTATAGTAATCAAAACAGTATGATATTGGCATGAAAATAGACACAGAGATCAATGGATCAGAATAAAAAGCCCTAAAAGAAACACATGCATATATGGTCAATTAATTTATGACAAAGGAGGCTAGAATATTCCATAGAAAAGGATAGACTCTTTAATAAATTGTCTTGGAAAAGCTGGACAGCCACAAGCAAAAGAAAATTGGACCCCTATCTAAAACCACACATAAAAATCAACTCAAAATGGATTAAAGACTTCAATTTATGACCTGAAAAACATACATTCCTAGAATAAAACATAGAGCTTCTTGACATTGGATTTTTTCATTTGACACCAAAAAGAAAAGGCAATAAAGCAAAAATAAGCAAGTGGGACTACTAAAAAGTTTCAAAATAAAAAGTTTCTGCAAAGCAAAAGAAACCAAGAAAATGAAAAGGCAACCTATGGAATGGAAGAAAATATTTGCAAATCATATATATGATAAGGCATTAATATCCAAAATATAAAAAGAACTCATACAACTCAACAGCAAAATAGGAAACCATCCAATTTAAAAATGGGCAGGGGAACGACATAGACATTTTTCTAAAGAATACACCCAAATCTCTAATAAATGCATGAAAAGGTGCTAAAAATAACTAATCATCAGAGAAATTCAAATCAAAACCACAGTCTACATTACACCTGTTAGGATGGCTATCATAAAAAAGAAACAACAAGTGTTGGCAAGGATGAATAGAAAAGGGAAACCTTGTAAACTGCTGGTGGGAATGTAGTTTGGCACAGACACTATGGGAAACAGTATGTGGTTCCTCAAGAAATTAAAACAAAACAAAACACACAACTGGCATATGATCCAGCAAGCTCACTTCTGAGTCTATATTCAAAGGAAATGAAAAGAGGGTCTTCCAACCATATCCAAATGCTGCATGCAATAAAATATTATTCAGTTATGAGGAAAAAGAAGAAATCCTGCCGTTTGTAACAACATTGGTAGATCTTGAGGGCATTATGCTACGTAAACTAAGTCAGACAGAGAATGACAAACACTGCATGGTATCACTTATATGTGGAATTTTTAAAAAGTTCAAACTCATAGAAACAGAGTAGAAAGGTGGTTTCCAGGGGCTAGAGCAGGTGGGAGGGGCCAGTCCATGGGGATGAGGAGGGAGGTGGTGGACAGAGTGTGAGAGCATCCTCACTGCTGGGTGGTGCCTGTCCCTGCTGGACAATGACCACAGACCGAGTTCCTGTGAACAGACCCATTTCCTATGTCGCGGTTGTGTAGGTTCCACATCCCACATGTCCTCTCTGGCTAAGCACACGTGTGGCCAGGTCTCTGCTCCCCACTGAGGCCACTGCCAGGCTCACTCACTTGGTTGTGTGAAGGCAGATTCCTGCAGATGTGGGACTGAGGTTCCCGTCTCCTTGCTGGCTGCCAGCTGGAGCCCCTGAGCTCCCAGAGGATGCCTGCGGTCCTGGACCGTGGTCCCTACAGCACACCCAGGCCTTCCCCCATGTGGAGCCTCTCTGACTCCCCTCCACCCCATCCCTCCTGCAGCTCCTGTGCCTCCAGCCAGAGAAACTTCTCTGCTTTCAGGGTCCATGTGCCCTGATTGGCCACCCAGATCACCCAGGACAGTGTCTCCATCCAAGGTCCTTCACCTTCATTACCTCGCCCTCGTCCCTTTGCCAGGTCAGGAAACCTGCTCACAGGCTCCATGGATTCCGCTGGACTTCTCTGGGGACCACTGTTCAGCCTTCCGCATCTGATTTTATTGAAATCATCGAGGATCAAAGGGGGAGCCCTCTGGGGAGGGTGACAGTGAGCCAGGAGCTGAAGGATATCAGGAATGGCCTCGGGGCCCACAGCAAATACCTACAAGGAGGGGCCTTGGGGCTCCAATCTGATGGCAGATGATTCATAGGAGAAAATGTTCAGGGAGGAGTGAGGAACATGGGGCACCAGGTCTGGGGAGGGGAGACACCCATAGGAAAGTACTTCAGAGGGAGCCATGTCCCAGGGAGACCAGGTTTCCCCCAGAGCTGCGAGGTGCTGGAGCATCCTGGGAGGGCTGTGCATATTGGGCGGGTCCTGGGCTGAGAACCCTGGGAAGGGCAGTGGGGAGATTTCAGAAGTGGGGGAGGTGTTGTGTGAGGAGACAATGTGTGTGTGTGTGTGTTGGGGGGAGGGGGATGCCTGTGGAAAGGAGCATGTAGGGTGTTTGGGAGACTGAGTGACCGAGACAAACAGGGACAGGACAGAATGAGGTTAGTCCCGGTGGATTCAGAGCTGATGGTGGTGGTGAGTGTGTGAGAGAGGAGGTGAGAGGAGCACCGTTTTGGGGGCTCTCACTTGGCCGCTGAGGATGGAGATGAGGAGGTTTAGGGTGGTCGGGTCTTCATTCCAGTGTATAGAGCCTTTCTGGGTCAGGGGGCGGATGCCTGAAGGAAAGGAGGGTCGTAGAGGATGTGCCTACGCTCATTCTGGACCCTGAGAGAGGGGCTGTGCTCTCAGAAGGTCTCAGGGACAGCTTGGGGTTAGAGCTGTGACCTCTGGGGCTCCAGGAGTGACCCCTATCACAGGGGCCCCTCTGCTGTCCTTCTGGGGGACAGAGGCCCTGGGGAGCTGTGCTTTAGCCCCACGAGTCCCAATGTGCATCCCCGCACTGTGGAAGATTGTGTAGACAGTGAGATGTTGTTCCCAAATAAGAGATGATTTTATTTTGAAAACTGAGTTTGAAAAAAATCACAAAACAGAAATAGGGAATAGAAGAACATGTTTCTACTTTTCAGGTTTCTATGGTTTTGTCCTCAAGGGATTGGAGAGAGGGGTGACAGTGAGGAGATGGAATCCTCAGAGATGGGTCCTGGCTCCTGAGCACTCTTCTTAGTCAATCCCTGTCCTGTCCTGACCTTGACACTGTGGAGCCCAGGCTCGCCAAAGCTTCTTCACACCCCACCCCACTCGCCAAAGCTTCTTCATCCCCCTCGGATGCCCAGCCTTCAAGTCAGCTCCCTCTGACCCACTCACAGCACAGCCCCTGCCAGGGCTCAGGCAGCCTTGGGAGCAGCGCTTCGGCGCCCCCCTGTGGCCACAGGGCTGAGGACAGAAGAGCCAGCTCCCCTTTCTGCTGCTCAGCCAGGACCTCCCAGGGTCTCCCTCTGTTCCCAGCACCAGAACAGGGCTTTGAACACAGAAGGGGGGCCCTGTCCTATGTCAAATTCGGGGTGCAAAGTGTTTCTCCAAATGCACACTGATGTTGATGCTTCTCCCCATTGAGTCACCGTGGACGCTGCCTCAGGACAGAGCGAGGTCTCCTGGGCCATCACCGCTGGCTCCCAGGTCCAGCTGCACCCCACAATCAAACCAGGAGTCCTTAGTCTCTCAGATGGGACCTTGGACACTCAAGAACATGTCGCCTGTTCCCGCTGCTGCCTCTGGAGCTAGAACACCTTCCTCCTGGGAACTAGTGCCGCTTGCCTCAGAGCTTGGGATGGGGTAGGGCTGGGGTGTCAGGCCTGGGAAGGCAAGGATGCCCCTGAGGAGGTCAGGATGGGGGGAGTCAGCACACAGAGGGGTAGAGGCTTCAGGGAGGAGAACAGCAGGGGAGGATGTGCCATGGTCCCCCTGCTGGTGTTTGGAAGGGGTCCTCCGGGTCACAGACAGCAAAGGGCTCGGCTGCCCCTGTAGGGATGAGCCCTGGTCCCAAAGTCCTGGGGTTTCCAGGGTCCCATTAACTGGGCCAGTACCCCCTGCCAAGTCTGAGTCCAACCCAAGCAGCAGGCTGTCCTGGCCTTCAGTGGTCCCTTGTGATTCCATTGTTTGCTCAAGAAATATATCTGGGGAACAGTTTCAGAAAGCCTTCAGAGATGTTATAATAGGGACCAAGGGCCCATGTCCTAAGTCTTCCACCTGACTCTACCCAATGGCAGAGAGAATGACATGTAACTCCCAACATCATGTCTCATAACTGGTGATGAATGTCCTCCCTTCTCTTTCTTAGGAAAAATGAAAACCTTTAAATGTGGATGTAAAAGCCCTCCCCACCCTGAGCTCTGGCACTGGCCTCAGTGGTTCCCAGGCTGGCTGAGCCCCAGGATTGCTTGTGAGCTTCTTACAAAACCCCCCAGCCTCTCCCAGACCCACAGACCCAGAGAATTAGGCACAGACAGGAACCACCTGTGTAACACCCTGCAGGCGAGGCTGACACACAGACACGGGGATCCTGGTCTGGGTTCTCGCTACTCAATGTGGATCTGAAGACCAGCAGCATCAGCACCTTGGGATAGAGCCAGACTCTCACACTCTGCTCCTGACGTCCTGAGCCAACAAGAGGTCCAGGTTGTTCCTGAGCCCAGGAATGTTGGGGGCTCCGTGGGCCCTGTGCCTTCTAGACCCGGAGACAGAACAGTGCAGTCGGCTCTGGTGTGTGGTCTAACCAGACGGCTCAGCACTGGGTCCAGGGTTCAGTTCTGCTCCCTTGGTCTCCTGTAGCCATCAGTCCTTTGGTGACCTTGTCCGTTCTCAAGGCTTTAAAGGTCATTTACCTGTGTCGCCTCCCAACTCTGTTTCTCCAAACAACATCTCTCCTGATCTCCAGACTGGTCTGTCCAACTGCGAATCCGATGACTCCCTTGTGTTGCTAACAGACACTCAGCTCCAGCATCTCTTAAAATGAAGGCCTGTGATGCCCCTCAAATAGCCTGCTCCAGAGTCTGCCCATCTCTGCTAATGGGAACTCTGTCTCTCTATGTGTACCCTCTGAGATTTTTGGTGACCTTGATTCCTCTCTCGAATGCCCCAGATTAACCCTTAGGCTCGCTCTAAAGTCCATCTTCAGAAGGAACCAGAATCCCAGCATGCCCACTATTTCCACTGTTCACCCCTGGAAGCCTCTCCAGCCTGGAGCCCCTCACAGACTCCTCCTGCCTCCCCACTGACCCCTCACCTCCCAAGTGTTCTCAGCTCAGCAGCCACAGTGATCCTTTAAAGAGGGTATCATGCCAGGCCTTTCCTGCCCTAAGTCCCTTGCGGCTCTTTCCTCACTCAGAGCACAGCCCCCACCCTTCTTCCATCCTCCAGGCCCAGGAGGTCTGGCCTTGTCTTTATCTCATCTCCATTACTCTCTGCTCCATTCCCACACTGGCCTCCTCCCTCTTAAACCAGACACACTCCTGTCCCAGGCCATTCCCACTGGAGGTGCCACTGCTGGAAAGGACTTCCTACATCCTCAGGGATAATGCCACATGTCCTTCAATGCTTTCCTCAAGGTCACCTTCCCAGTGAGGCCCCCACTGACTGGCCACCCAAATCAAACAGACATGCCCTAGCTGGTTTTGCTCAGTGGATAGAGCGATGGCCTGCAGACTGAAGAGTCCTGGATTGGATTCTGGTCAGAGGCACATGCCAGGGTTGTGGGCTCAATCCACAGCAGGGGACCTGCAGGAGACAGCCGGTCAATGATTCTCTCCCATCATTGATATTTCTCTCTCTCTCTCCCTCTCCTTTTCTCTCTGAAATCAATAATACACACACACACACACACTGAGTGGCCAAATTATTATGATCACCTTACGTTTGTAGGCAGGGAGGGTAGTTGGGGGCAATCGGGCCGGCAGCAGAGCAGTTAGGCGTCTATCAGGTGGGCAGGGGAGTGCTTAGGGGGTGATCAGGCTGGCAGGCAGGTGAGTGGTTGGGAGCCAGCAGTCCTGGATTGTGAGAGGGATGCCCAACTGCCGGTTTAGGATCAGGCCTAAACCGGCAGTCAGACATCCCCCGAGGGGTCCCAGATTAGAGAGGGTGCAGGCTGGGCTGAGGGACACCCTCCATCCCCCAGTGCACAAATTTTGTAGGCAAATTAGGGGTGGTCATACTAATCTGGCCACTCAGTGTATATATTAAAAACAAACAAAACACCCATGGTCTGTGTCCCCCACAGCCACACTTGGGATTGCCTTCCCCAAAACTTTTTTCCTCAGAACAGTTACCCCTTGTCACACAGACGCCTTCCTTGTTTACGGTGCTTTTTCATTCACTCTGTTTCTTCCCACACAACGTATGTCCCACAGGAAAGCAGCTTTTCTGATTGTCCTTCAATGGTCCCCACATGCGGAAACACTGTCACACATCTGGCTCACAACTAATACTGGTTCATGAATGGTCAGTGTAGAGCACCTCACTGTGCTAGTGACACGTCTTCATTAACGTGGCCTCAGACCACAGCTGTCCTGTGGCAGCTACAGCACAGCCAGCTCTCACATTG